TTACCACTGAGTTAGCGCTGAAAAATCAGCAAAATTCAAGCATTTACTGGGGCAAAACACAATCGACCACAGTAAGCGCAAATAGCAAGCGGTACTGCCGCTTAGTATACCACCAAAAATGACTCCGTGAAGCGGGGTTATTTTCGGTGCTGTACGCAGGGCAAGGAAGGGAGGGGGAGATGAAGGAGTAAGCTCCAGCCCTGAAAGTTCTATTCTTTTGACAAACTGGTAAATGAAAAGATTTTATTTCACCAGAGCGTCATGTTATCTCTGAAATTTTTTGTTCGTCTTGTATGCATGATGTCAATGGACTTAGCCCTGAGCAGGTGAACCACCTGTTGGATAAGAAAAATAGCCTGCCATACGCAAACCTTATTTCACGGGTCAATTTTTTAACCACAGAAATTTTGTGCATTCGCAGAGTCGGCTTCAAAAGCCAGCAGCTACTCCAGATTGGTTATAATTAAAGCAAAGGGACCTCGCTGCCAAGCATTTTGATCAACAACAAGATTGACTGTTATATTGGGATGCCAGTAGTTGAGGATTTCAAAATTCATCACTTCCGCTTTCTTCTGCTCCTCCTCACTCTGCTCCGTCTTACCGGTCAGCAAATTTTGCGTCTTCTTGTAATATTTCTTCCTGTATTTATTCAGCTGACGCACGTTATAAATTACCTAAAACACCTGAGCTGATGGAAGAAGAAACTGATAAATATTTGGGCGCGAAAAAAAAGCGTACTGAGGTGCTGCATGAAAATACCTCTCTTTTAACATAATTACGGCTTCGACTGTCTGGTGACTGATGCTCTTTAACGATGAATACATGGAGGTAGAGAGAACCATTACTGAGAAGTGATTGGGGCGTGCGAAATGTAACTGACTTGGAACGTGACCCGTCACCCTCCGGACCGGATTTCCAGTCACCGTAAATGAGCTCCGATTCTTTCCAGAACAATGCATTCTCGTCATCAAATGCTTCGAAATTATCGGACTAAAAAAAAAAAATTAATTACAACAGGCAAAAATGACAAAAATGCATAAATTTAGATGAAATTATAACACTTATCTTCTTCAAATCTTCATCTCCCAGAACATCAACCTTCCCAATCATTTTTAAAAATTTTTATGATCAAAAAAAAAAAAAAAATAACCTAAACTTTTAACTCTACCAACAAAACTTCGGCGCCGATGATAACGTCAGGCAAACCAATTTCCACTGCTATACTGGCCCCTAACCGGTTTTTCACAAACTACAACAGGCTTCAGGAGTACTTCAAAGCTCCAGAAACCAAGTTCAGAAATGTAGGGCATGTAAATTAGACTCAGCGGGTACAGGAATTGGGCTTTACAAGTAACTTTTTTTTGAACACCGTAAAATTGGGATTTTCTTAAACTGTGAATTGTAAAAATCTGGAAAAGTTGGTACTCTTCAAAGCCGCCGGATATTTTACCGCTTTCGCAGAAATGCAAAGTTCTTAAAAATCCTCTTATTTGGTACAGAGGAAGTATCGCAATCAAAACAAACCGAATCCGATAAATAAGCGTAGAGGTCGAATTTCTGTCCAGGTTGAAAAAGATTCCGTGATGGTAAAGCAGAACTCCTGCCAAGGCCAGGGCCTGTATAATTGGAACCACCACCAATCTGTCCACCCATGAAGTCTGAAAAAAAAAAAGAATGGTACATATTCGGATCAGCACTTTCTGCCTTTCTTACTGTTCAACGTGCTTTCGCAATAACTCTCAAATTTTCCAAAAACACTGTGGCGCGAAAGGAACAAGGTGCTAAACCTTAATATGCTTATCGGGGCGAGAGCCACCCCACAGCCGCTCAGACCTCTCGCCGCCCATCTTCTCCTCGTTACAGCTGTGGTATAGATGAAGCTGCTCGAACATTTCGTTGTCATCCTGCTGGCGTTTGTTCTACTCTTTTTCATCGTTGTTCGGGGCGAAATGCTGGATGTACTTCATTTTCTACTCATTTCGTTCTAATACTTTGATCAGTTGTTAATTCATCGCCGGGCCTCTTCTCAAAGCCAATGCAGTTGGCAACTTTTTCACTCTTCTTTGTCCTGTTACCACTCCCAAACGCATAATCCCACACAGGTTTCATTCAATTTGCGAAGCTACTCTGGCCGTTTCTTCGTTATCCGCTGGTTGGCAAGCTGGTGACCCTGATATCGACTAAAAATTCCAATTCTCTACTTTTTATGCGTTTTTTGTAGCTATGCAATACAGAAAACGTACACCGACGAGAGGTTGTCTGTGTGTCTGTGTGTGCGCTGCGTGTCTGTACCGGTTTTTCAATTCGAGACTCACAAAAGCTACGGGGCTGAAACTTGGGGAAATTAATTTACATGCGCATACGGGCCCCAATCCCCGAAATGGGCGGTCTTATCCGCGTGGTACCCACGTAAGAGCACGCCAAAGTTTTTTACGGGTAAGCTGCTAACTAGGGAACCAGAACTGCTTGGGGGCTGAAATTTTAAGGGAATGTTCCCCGTTCAAGTAGGTATTAATAGGCTCAAATCCAGCCCCCGAGTAAGCGTGGCACCCGCGTAAGGGCCCGCCAAAATTTTTTTCGGGTAAGTTGCTAACTCGAGGACCTGAAAAGCTAGAAGACTGTATTTTTAAGTGGATGTTCCCCGTCCAAGTAAGTCTCAACGAGCTCAATCCTAGACATCGGGTATGCGTGGTGCCCACGTGCGGGTCCGCGGAAGCTTTTTTCCAGTAAGTTGCTAATTCAGGAGCCAGGAAAGCTAGAAAGCTGAAATTAAGAGGGCGTTCCTGCCAGTTCCGGCGGCCAGCCTTAATTTGTTTAACTAGAAGCACTTGCCGAAAAAACCGATGCCGGCAGCGAAAAAAACTGCGGGGAACTATACAGAAAAAGCATCTTCTCACGGTCAGCCGGTACGCTGATTAATTATTTCTTTTTCATTCGGGAAAAAAAGAGAGGGAGGAAGGGATGAGGGCAAAACCTCTTGGAGAGTAAGGAATGTGCCTGTTGCAATAGACAATAAATGGCAACGCGCACCAGACTAGCCGGTGCGATCATGCGTTTTGTGCAGTTCAGCCCATCG